CCCCAAAACCCCAAAACCCCAAAACCCCAAAACCCCACTGTAAATTATGATGAGTAAATGATCAAACTGAACGATTATAATTTTCTTCAATATTCGTTAAATCAATTTAAAATGAAAGTGTCTCGATTTGATTAATAAACCCCTACATCACATAAATCAATGACTAGCTACACCTCAAAGTCAGCTTCTTAAGATCGTTCTAGCAATAGGTCATCAAATTAAAGAAGCAAACGCTTTGATTCGAGTGAATAAACAGCCAAATAGGTACTTCTTCCTAGATATAGCAACTTTAATAATAATCAAAATTTTGATGATACCACATTAACTGAAAAGCGAGACCTTTAAATTCCCGATTTTGTTAAAGAAGATATTGATGATAAAATGAAATTGCAAAGGGAAAATATACTTCTCAAACAAGAAATAATGAAACTCTAACATACTATATAAGCGATGAACACTTCAAATGTGAGTTTATAAGTTCAAAATTCATCATAGAAGGAAAACATCTACTCAACCGTAAGGAAACACAGCCCTGATAAAAGAAAGCAAAAAGAATATTCGATAAAGCTTATCCCCACAGAGATTTAAGCATAGTAGATTAATTTTATAGGCTCAAACAAAAGACAGTCCTCTGAGAAAAGACCCTTCACCAATTTAGATGGCAGGTATCAGAATATTGATAGTTATTAAACGAGCCAATTTAAATCTTAAAAATCAAGCAGAAAACCTATCTTAAGCAAAAGAAGCCAATAAAGCACTCATACTAAGCCTTCAAGGTTCATTTTCGATTCAAGTCACTTGCAATTCCCACAGTCAAATAGAGATAAATTCTAATCGCTTTCAAAGAATGGAATTTCCTTTTCTCCATGCCAGGAGCCATAGGTATTAAGAAGTATGCCTATCTAGCAATCTAGATCATGCAAAGAGTTAAAAAATATACTACTTAACTTTCAGCTAGATAACTTAGTACTTGATAGTTTGATGCCATAATCAACAGGAAATTAAGATAATCATATCAAAAGTGGATAATAAAATATTGACTGTAGTTATAAAAACTAGCAACATATTTCGATGAATTATAATGATCTATAAATACCCTTTGATTCCTCAGAATTAACAATGAAAAAGCCATTGATGCTAATTAGTCCTTCAAAGAATACTCCAGAATTCAATCATGCATCTCACATTGATACAGTTAAAAATAGCTAGTATCTTGTATCACCAAATATTTATCAGAGCTACTGTACATTATAAAACTATCCATAAGCCTATTTAGACTAAAATTATCATGGTAATGTAATTGATCTTGACTAGCACTTTAGAAATCTTTAAAATTAAATTATCACATAAAATCAGTCAAGATGCTAAGATAACTAGTCTTATATGATATCATTCAACAAGGATTGCAGTGAAATAAACTCTTAATATTATGGAGAAGATTTTTCTAGTCTTTAACCATCAATTTATGAGTCTATTAAATCAAATAGGCACTCTTAATATTCAGAAAATACAAGTACCGCAAAGAAAGTTGCACCAAACAGTAGAAAAACTTCTGCCTCTAAAAGCAATACATTCAGAAGTATTGATTAGAGAAGATAAAGCATTAAGCCTCATAAGACTTCCTGTATATCATATGATGATAAAACTAGTAGACTTTCATTCACAAGAAAATAAAGTATTGATAACAGGTCAATGGCAGATAAAAGTAGTTCAAGATCAAGTATAAAATAAAAACTGACTGGAACTAATTGCAACTCAAGCATGAATAATGATCAGATCTCCATAAAACTCGAAAACTTTGAAGTTAAAGTAAAAAACTATTAGATTGCTTAGAATTCTCGGTATGATATGAATAAGATAAACAAAATACTAAAGAAATTTAGCAATGACAACATAAATAGACAAACATCAAGGGACAAAATATATCATTAGAAGTAGATCATAGATCGAGCAAATTAAGTGAGTAGAAATTCCAACTCTAAGAGCATGAAGCAGGTGAAAACACTATAGTAGAGCAAGTCATAAGATCAAAGGAAATCATTTAGATTCTAGAATAAGAGAAAGTCCTATTAAAATCCACTTCAAATAAATAAAGATCTTGAGATATTCGAAGATTTCAAAATTTAAGCTTACTGTAATTATAAAAATAATTCTTAGCCACCTGTTTAAGATTACCAGTCCTTCAATTAAACATAGACACCAAATTAACTTAAGAATTTGCTAAATCAAGCAAAGTAAAACTACTATGATGAAAATGTAGGAATAACTTCTTCAGAGGTAGTTGTATCAGAATAAAGTGCTGAATCTCATCAGACTAAAAAGAATATACAGTTCTAAGATTACTACTAGGTGAATCAAAATTAGTTTAATCAGTTAAATATTAATACTAGCTATTATAATGATCGCACTTATAACTGTAATTAAAAAGATAACTAGCCTAATAACTTGATTGAAGATTAAAATAATCAATTTACAAATGAAAAGTTGCAAGTATAGACTTAGGCATCCAAAAGAAAGGTACTCGCCTCAATTGAAAGAAGCATACCAAATACAACTATAATGAATAAACTCTTAAAGCCAGTTCTTTAATAAAAGAATAAGTCTAAATAGAGAAAATAGTCAAAAAATGTCGCTAATAGAAAATTAAATGGCCAAATAAATCAGGTCTAAAGACAAAATAGAGAAAATATAAATTTAGATCAACCTGAATTCCACTAAGTTAACTCTTCTTTTGCTTCCAATCCTTATTAGTATGTTTCAGCAAATGGTTGCTTTTCAAGCACAGTTTCTCCTAGAAATATCTCAACCATATCTGACAAACCCACAGATACCAATACTAGTTTTGTATCTCAAAACTCTAGATCATAATATGCCTAGTATCAAGATTCAAGCAAGACAACCTAAAAACTTTTAAGTGGCTTACATCAGAACCAGAAGATTAGCAGACTTTAGAAAAGAAAATCACTTTGCTCAGGATAGGATGATTCAATTAAATAAATTCTTATTCAAAACAAGCCATGTTCTAACTGCAGTTTGCTTCTATCAAGAGGATTATCCTCTGCCTTATGCAAGTTTAATCACAAGTGATAACCAATATATGAGAATATCTAAATTAAATTTAAATTTGAAGCTTTATTATAAGTTGATAAAATATTTAATAACTAAAGCTAATGTTATAATATGTAATCTTTAAGTGAAATGGGTGCTAAGACTAGCAGCATAGTTGCTTCTTAAAGCATATATAAGAAGATGCTAATAATTGGAGGCTGTGAATTATCTCTTGAAAGAAACCCACATGATACTGTTGAAGTTCTCGATGATTAGAATAAAGTCGAATATTTGGGCTAGAATAGTTTATTACCTGTAAGAGGTCCAATGGCTCACATTTATAACAATAAAATTTACCTTTTTGGAGGTTGTACAGGGCCTAAATAGCACATTGATACCATTTAGATCTATGATCTACTTTTAAATTAGTGGTCTATAGCTCCATTTAAGATGATAAATGGAAGATCATGCTTTATGTTATCAAATATAGAATCAGAGGTATATATTCTAGGTGGATATAATGGATATGAATGCTTGAGAGAAGTTGAAAAAATTGATTTATCTCAAGATAATCCCCAGTCAGTAATACTTAAAAATCTTTATCATCCTGTTAAAAATGGTTATAGCTTTTATGATCCTATTAAGCAAATCATTTATATTATTGGAGGATGGGATGAAAAGGAAACATAAGATAAAATTTTTAGTTATAACCCAAAGACATAAGAAATGGCATTTGTAAGTTATTTGCCACACAAAGTGGAGGGTCATTCATTAGTCTAGATCGATAATTTTCTTTATATCTTTGGGGGCTTTGACGGTTATAGTGTGACTGACACCATTATAAGAGTAGATTTAAAATATATGACCTCTGAGGTTGTACAAGGCTGTAAACTTAAATATAAAAGGGAAAATTCTACAAGTTAAATTCTCAATGGTAATACCATAATTGTAGCTGGAGGTTGGAATGGCAATTCATCTATGGATAGCATGGAAGTATTTAAATATGATTTTGATAAAAAGACCCTTTCAAGAGAAGACAATATCGATGAAAATCTTGTTAAGCTCTAGAGCATTAGAAATAGACCTTGCTCAGTGGCTTTGTGATTTATTTAATGATTAACTGTAAATAATTTATGCTTTTATTTATGGCTTATATTAACTTAAGTTTACATTAATTTCATTACAGTTTGAATGCTTAATTTAAATAGATTAATTAATAAATAATGACCCATGAATAATTAAATGAGAGGGCTTATTAAAGCGAGGGAGTTGAGGATAAATATTAGCACAGAACTCAAACTATTACGTTTTAATCTTTCGCCTTTTACTAAAGATTACCGTGGTTAGGGTTTACTATGTGCATATCAAACATCTTTTTGTGGGCACCTCTGGTGCTTTTCCTAAATAAATGAATCGTTTGAATTAATATATATACTTATAAAATTGTTAATTTTTATGGTACTACTGATAATAAGTTTTTAACGAAAAATTAAAGTTTAAGGAGTCTTTGTAATTTAATAAAACACTCATATACTAACAACATATTGTCTCTATTTACTTTGTATATTCAATCTATATTCATTCCTTGGGTTTCCCATCTATTCTGATAAACATTATAATACAAATTATTCCAAGCAAAGTTTCAAGTCCAGCGAATCCAATTGCTATTGAGTGCAATACAACCTCAAGATTTAGCCTAAATTAAATAATCATTTTTCTAAATCTATCCATACACATATGTTTAAAGTCCAATGAAAAAGCCATTGGCAAATATCGAGAATGCAGTCAAGAATATCATAAATACTATACCTCCCCAGGACTCAATTCTGTTTCCCCTCCTTCCTGATTCGATCCTCGCATATTGAAGAAATGAGTAGGTGATCAAGAATATCATTTCCATTTCCCATTACCCCTGGGGATATGGTAAAGCGAATAATTTGAAAAGATAGAAGCAGAACATGATTATTAGCAAAATCAGTGAAAAGTAAACATCAAAGTAGAGCAGTGACTATTTGAGAAATTATTAAAAAAAACCTATCTATCACTTACTTATAGTTAAAGTAAACTGCTCTATAGTTAAAGGTTAATTCATAATAAAATAATTTACTGGCTCTGGATTTCTCACAAAGATCGGCTTTTCTGGTTCTCCAAGGTGGATTTAGCGATTGTTTTAAGCTTGAGGGTTGTATGGAGGATTACGATTTCCTGTAAACATTAATAATTTTGAAATTTAAATTTATAATTATTCTCTGTTTATAAAATATTCAATGCAAGATTAAAGCGTTGTTAGTTAAATATTTAATTGGAAAGAGTATGAGTGGCACATTTGTGGCAAAAAATGAACATCATAAATATGTAGAGGAAGTTTTAAACTAACAATGAAAGTATGAGTCATTCAAGTAGGATAAGAGAAGGAAACCTTCTGCTTTAATCAACTAGAAATAAGAACAAGATAGTAACATAAATAAACGAAATACACTGAGAAAAAAATGAGAAAGTAAAGTTACAATTGATGATTTATTGAATTTTCAGTCTTAACTTGTGTTCAACAAATTCGTCACTCCTAAATAATAACGCAACAATTAAAAATCTATAACTGGCAAACCCTAAGCATTCTAAGATTTTAGTATCAAGAGTAAACATGGAACTACTAATGAAGAAAATTTAGGAATGGTAAAGTCAATTTCATAGTTAAGCTTAGTTTCATTCCAAACTTAAGCTGATTATTAACCTCTTGATGCTGTTCGAAACACTAAAATGATATCTCTTCAAAGCTGCTAGCATCAATGCACTACTTTCCGCTAATAAGATTTGAATAAGAGACGGAATAACTTTTCTATTGATTAAGTCTCTAAAGATAATCAAGTACATCAAGAGAATTAGCATGGGACTTAACATCATAGAATATCTTCATCAAGAACCAAAGCTGATTTTAGAGAAAATCAAATTAACAACTAAATCATAGAAAAAAAATATAACTAAGAGGATTCATAGATCATTAATAAAAGTGACGTCAAAGTTGACCTATCTCAGATATTCGTAGATTTTTCAAAGTAATTTAAAGGCAACCAATTCAAAAAGTGTAGGAAATCATAAATACCTATGAACTACAAAAATAATCCGTTAACTGTTATTACTAATTAATAGAGGAATTTAGCTGAAACAAACAATAAAAACTCCTATATTCTTGACGATCAGAGTGAAATTAGCCCAGTAGTTATTTCTAAGCGCGATAGTCTTAACAGTGATTTCTACAAAAGGCATAATAATCACTGTAACACTAAATAAAAACTTTCAATTCTACAGCAAAATACCGTTGATCATACCAGAGATGACACTTCAGCAAACGAGTCTTATTACAACAAAGATGCCTCCTCAAATTATTTATAGTCATAAAATTGCCAAACTAGCGTTTATGCAACAGTTATTAGTAATAGCAGTAGATCAAAGTATAGAATGAGCTGTTCAAGTAATGATAAAGAGAATAATGAGCAATAGACTATATACTCTGATTAGAAAAGAAGAAATGGCAATGAAAACAAGCCACCCTCTCACAGATTCCAAAATCAGATATCTGAGAAGCAATATAGTACCAAGAAGTCTAAAGTCTAACCTCCTTCTTCTTAGATGTTTAAACCAATGAAAATTCCTTCAAGTCATGAGAAGCCATTTATTGTTAAAAAGAGTGGTAAATAACTGACGACCTTTATTCCATTTAAGAGATCTATATATTGAAAATTTACCTTTGATGCGAAGCATAAGATTATAAGGACCTGATTGTATATTAGTTTATTATAAGTTATTTAAGTTAAGGTATTCTACTAACATATTAAAACAATTAAAATCAACAATCTTTATCAATGCTTGTATATTTTTATGATGTCATCAAACTGCATTCTGCAAACTGGACAGCACTCACATCTTGAAGCACACTTAACACATGCAAAATTATGCCCGCAAGGAATAAATGCCGCATCACCCTCTTATTCATAACATATTTTACATATATCTTGACTATAAGCTGCATTCTAATTATTGTTATTGCCATTCATTTATCTATCAGCAGCCTAATTTCCACCAAATAAACTTTGAGGAATCTACTAAATCTAATTACTTTCATTTTGCTGATTCAATATGTCCACTACAAGGTAAATATATATATATAATGATTTCTTACACTGAGCAATACCATTTCCTCGATCAACTATCATTTGATTGTTGTTTTTTTCTTCTTCACTTTGCAAATTTTGATATAAATTGTTCACAGCCAATCTCTTGTTAATAACTGGCATATTCTTGAAATTTTACATGTCATTAGTCTGAACTACAAACACTGTACTTCCTATTTTAAGAATATCATTTATTTTAAGTGGATGCAAGTTGCTTTGTTCCCCTTCTGAACTGAGTCTAAGCCAAGTTCTATTTGTAGAGCCAACATCCTAAAGATAAAAGCCCTCTTATTTACCATCAGAAGCTTTGTAGTATATGATCTTTGCATGAAAATTACTCATCTAAGAATCATCTTGCACACAAAAGGAATTATTTTGATCTCTGCCGATTCCAAGTCCAAGTTCGTCTACTGGAATTATTTTGTTTCTAGCTGGCCCTTCAAATACATGTAGTTCAATCATGCATTTCTTAGAAGTCAAAACTACTTTGTACTCACTAAGTCCCATCTAAAACATCATGTTTTACTTTAAAAGCACCTCTTGCCTCACCATAATAAAAGATCCTGTGGTTGAGCCAATATCTCTTATGTAAAATTTGCTGACGTTAGGATCTAAATTATTAGTATTACTATCATCTGGGCTGTATTTTATCTCGCAATGCCTCCTTGATACAAAGCTCTCAGATATTACTATATCATTAGAAGCTGAATGTCTTCCTAAAGATGCTCCATTTTCACCAACAATATATACATTGTTTAACAGTTGACCTTCTACAGCTTTTAAAACCAAAATTTCATGAGAGGGTGAATTCTATTAAGCTCCACCAATCATTTATCTTTGATTCTAATAATTGTACTACATTTGATTGTCAACTCTTTGATTATTGTGAGGAGGTGTATCAACTCTTGAACTCTAATGATTCGGCAATTATGATGGTATATTGCTAAGTGGAATCTAGGAGTTTTAATTGATAGGACCAGACATATTTACATTTTGTTGCTACTAAACTCCCATCATTTAATTATTGCTTTGAATATTTGAGAATTGATTCATGTGAACATTCATTTACTAATTCAACTGAGAAGGAATTTGCATTTGAAATGGATTTTGCTGAGGTACTTAGAAATTAGAAGCATTGTTATTGTTATTTCCAAACATATTTTATGCTTGATTTGGATTGAACTAATTGAGGTTTGATGGTCTTTACTGCTGATGGGGAAGCATATATTACTACTGCTATTAGTTGTTCATGTATATTTGCTAAGATGGATTTTAAATTTGTTACTACTACATTTGAATCGGACTAATTTATTGATGTGGCTGCTACTACTATTATTACTATATCGAGACATTTTGTATGGAATTAAGCAATTATTATTGCTGGTATTGAATTTGTTAGGCTTGAGTAATCTGAGATGCTTACTATTGCAATTTCTTGATACCTTCAATAATTTTTACTCTGTGCAGTCTGACCTAAATCCCAAAATCATTTTATAAATCAGCATCATTGATATGATCCATTAAAGAGCCGTCAATGCATAATCTACCTAAATTATTGTTAATTTTAAGCTTATTTTAAGACAATTTCAATTAGTATGCAAAATGACTCTTTTATTAAGAGACTAGAAAGTAGAATTAACTTACTGAACACCTCCTTGTATTGTGGCATTTTTAGATGTTCTTCAAGCCAAGTTTACACATCATTTGTATCCCAATCTTTGTAATCTAGAGAGGAAGCAGTTTAATGATGAGCTAGTTCATCAGGGCTGATGGGGTTTCCACTCATTTCTTAATTTAAATTATTATTCTTAACTAAATTAACTTAGCACTTTTCAATAAGCATTGTAACTATGACTCATGTCTGGGGTTTTGGGGTTTTGGGGTTTTGGGG